CAAACTGGGAGGAGGGTAGAGAGAACAGTGCAACAATGAATGAATGGAAACCCAAAATCTCTGTAAATGTTTATGAAAATTAATAAAATATAATTATAGGAAAAAAAAAAGAAGAGTAGAGAGAATCTTTCACCAGAGTAGTCAATATATAAAGTACATGGCAAAACATGATCAGAATACACTTAAAAGGTGTGAGGCAAGTCGATTCCAGTACATGATGGCTTTTTCCCTATAGGACTGGTACAGAAAAGGGGAACTATTAATAAGGTGGGAAAGGGAAAAACAGGCTTTTTCTTCAAAAGGATCTCTCTTCAGGCTTAGGTGCTTTATTTGTTCATTTAGAGCAATAAAGAAGTCTATTGCATAAGGCTCACATCTTACAGCTCCATTTTTACCAGTTGCTCTTCTTCAATTACCTCCCACTCAAGCATAAATACGGTAGTGGAATACTGTTAACAGCTTCCTCTACTCTATAAACCAATAGAAACCCAACCCAAACAATCGTTCTATTCTTAGAGATTAAAGATTCAATATCTGACACGAATTTCAAATAAGGTACACCCTGAAAAAACACATCTTTTTCTGTTCTAAGAATGTTCTCTGGAAATACAAAGGCAACATTTGTTTAAACACATTTCTTTTTAAAATAGGCAAGGTACGAATAAGAAAGCAAAAAAAAGGGAGTATTTCCTGGACCTTAAAAAGGGACTCCAGATTTCATTAAGAACAAGGCCTTTACCAGTCTGCAAATACTATTACCAAACAGCTTTCTACACAATTCTCACAATTTGATTACCATGCTCATTCCCATTTCCAAAATGCTACAGAATTTTATCTGTCCTGCTTCTGCAATCATACTGAAAGAACTTCCTATTTCACACAGTAATGTTAAGAACACAACTACTATATTACATAGTTAATCAAGTCATATGGAATTGAACTCCTATGTGTTTTAAAACAAAATTATTCTACTCCATGAAAACAGTATTACTCAAGTGTTAACCTCTCTTGTGTACAAGTATTTTTTAAAAAGTCTTTATCTTAAGCACGTATTTCACATATTCCCCAATTAAGACCCTTCGTAGCAGCATTCAGGAAATAAAGAGACACATTGCACTGAAAAAGTCTGCAGTTAGGGACTTCTCCAAATTGAGGAATAATGATGTCAGTTTGAGGACCAAGGCGGCCTGACTCAGGCCACGGTCTTTCCGATCACTTGCTATGCATTTGAGAGCTGAATAATGAATAGGGATGACAGAACTGATGCCTGTGACCTGAAGTATTGAAGAGCACTAAACATCCTATGGATGGCCAAATGAATAAACAAGTACGTCTTGAGGAGAGGTTGAAGCCCAAGTGCACTTTGATGAGGCTTTGTCTCACATACTTCGGGTATATTGTTAGGAGAGGCTTTACCTTAGAGAGGGACATGATGCTTGGAACAGTAGAAGCTTTGGCAAAGGAGAGGAAGACCCTCAATCAGGTGGACTGACACAGTGACTGTCACACTGGGCTCAAATGTGTCAGAAGAATGAAGATGGATAGAGCTCAGATCTGTTGTTTGTAGTGTCACTATGAATCAAACTCTATGGCATCTAACAACAACATAATCCTATGGTTCTCACATCAGTCTGTTAACACCAAAATTTCCAAGAAACAACTAACAATATGCCAGTCTTTTTCCTCTCACACATGATTTTGAAAGTTGAGTAGACCTAGAAAGGATAGTATGCTTACATCACATCACAGTTAAGAGACTATATGGGAAGGATAGCCAGTTACTGTCTCTTCAAAATATACAAGCAGATATAATGCTTATAGTAAACTTTTAAAAACTTATTTACTTGCACAACCAGAAGGGGACAAAATGGAAGAATGGGACCCTCTAAAAATTAAGTCCCTGTGTGTATCAAAAACTCTTTCCAATAAGAAACCTACAGGCTGGGGAAAAAAACACTTGGCAATGACATTTCAGATGAGGATCTCAAAACAAAATTTTATAGAATACTACAAGGTCTCTGCAAGAATGGGCAAAAGACATGAAAAGACTTTTTACAAAGGAAGACATTCAGATTGCCCAGAGCCACATGAAGAAATGCTCAAAATCACAGGCAATCACAGAGATACAAATCAAAACCACAATGAGAGAGCATCCCATCCCAGTTGCAGTAAAAAGTTTAATAGAAAAGCAAGTAATAAATGTTGGAGAGATTGGAACTCCATGCACTGCTGGTGGGATTATAAAATGGTACAACCATTCTGGAAGCCTGCCTGATGTTTCCTTAGAAAGCTGAACATAGAAAGCCTGCATGCCTCAGCTACTGCACTGCTAGAAACATAAGTCAACGAAATTAGAACTGAGACATGAATGGAGATATGTACACCTATGTTCATAGTAGTGTTATTCACAAAATCAAGAAAATGGAACAGCCCAAACGCACATCAACAAACAGATATACAGCACTAAGGAATAACAATTTTGTAAAATACTATAGAACATGGGAGAGTCTAGAGACCATTATGCTAAGTGAATTAAGTCTCATGAGGACAAACACTGTATAAGATTATTATTGCAAAAATAGAAGGCTAACAAGTAAGGTATTTATAAATACCTAGAAGAGGGCAGAAAAAGGGAAAAGGTGAAAATCACTTGAATAGCAGTTTTGTGGGTGGCCTGGGGGTGGGTAAAGGAATAGGAAATATTCACCGGAAACTCATAAAGACAGGGTAATAATGGGCATAGATCAACAGTAATCAATGATTTAAGAATATGTATGAATATATGAAACACAATGTAAATGAAAGATTGTATAAAACACAAAGAACATGGAAGAAATACAATGTAAGTGAATTAGTGTATGCAAACAAATATAAAAAGTACAATAGGACAGAAAGAATTATTTACTAAGAGTGGTACTTTAAAAAAAAAATCCAGACAACCAGAACATAAGGGGTTAGATTGAAAAAGCAGACTTCCTTGTGTTAACTTTCAAAGGGGTTTTTTTTGTTTGTTGTTTTTCCTTACTGTATCTGTCTACAGGCAGATACAGATAGATGTATGAAAATGTGCTTGCCTGTAAAATTTGCATTTATAATGTGTTGCCGATGGATCACTTGGGCCTGTACACATACCAATTAGCGTGACCACTTCCAGCTTAAAAACAAATATAAAACAAAATATAAATAAACAAACATATATGTAAAGGACTGTGGGTTGTATACAAACTACTGAAAACACTTGTGCAAATCTGTCTTGATATAAAGGAAAAGCAAAATCTGTATAACATTATTACTACTTGAATGCCTTTGTAACTGATTTTATTTTCATTTTAAATATAAACTTTTTTTGTGAAAAGTATGCTCAATGTTTTGTTTTGGTTTTTTCCTCCCTCCCTATTCCCTTGTAAATCCATTTCATTCTATGTGACTTGGTTTGGAAATAGTTAACTGGTACTGTAATTTGCATTAAATAAAAAGCAGGCTAGCCTGGAAATGGAAAAAAAAATCCAGAAATTATGGTACATTCATACAATGGAACTCTACGCAGCACGGAGGAGCAATGATTCTGTAAATTATTATCCAGCTTGGGAGGCAATGGAGATCATTACACTGAGTGAATGGACACAGTTCCACAAGGACAAATTTTGTATAAAACCATTATTGTAGAATGAGTATGAAGAAAAAAGCAGAGGGATGAGGATGTGCAGGGGTAGGTTGGATTAATCATGGGGTTGTACAATTTGAGGGGGTGAGGGAAATTGGAAGAATGTGGTCTGAAAAACAATGTATTTGAATTTTGTAAATAAACCAGTATAATAAAAAAAAGAAATAAGTGATCCCACCCATTTGGCTTGCAAAAATTGAAGATATTTAAAAGTAAAACAGACTCAAGAAACCCAACATTCTCCTCCTGAGGTTGTGTTTATTCTTGGGACAAAAACCACAGGGGGACCACATAAAACTTGTTTTTTATCACAGTCATCAGTTCTGACATGTTAGAAGAAGGAATGCAAAGACATTAGTGGGGGCTGGGTGTTGAGCAGAAGAAAAAAGGAGAGATTTTTTTTCCCCTTCTGAAAAATGTCCTCTCGTTGAGTTCAGATTCAATAAATGAGATTACTGAGGGAAAAAATAACTTACAAGAATTCTGCTGTCTCTTCCCAACTACTATGTTTATGGTAATTAAGGCAAAGCATCAGTGATGTATGCTGATACAATATTAACACTATCATCTTGCCTCCCTAAATTTTTACTAGTTCTGACTTAACAGCAATAAGGTTTCTTTTCTTTTAAAATAGCCACTAAACATTACTAACTTGTTCAGCATATT